ATCCCACAAGCAGTTTCTCCTCTCTAGGGCTGTCTTCTGCCTGTGGCATTTCTTTAACCCTACAAAGTTGGAGCTGGCCAGCACCTTATACATTTCTGGGTTCACCCTCAATGGGCACTTAGCGACTAGAAAAGGGAGGTCATGAGAGGACACGGACCCTAAGTCTGACTTTTAGTTGTCTGTTTGGAAGTGTTTGCCTTTCTCTCTGGAGAGGGATCTCTGGGGGCTGGGTGCTATGTATAGTAGGTTACTGCCAGAGATCCCAGGCAAATTTCTCAATTATGAGCCTCAGTTGTCTCATCTGTAAATAGGGATAGTAGTGTTTATGTCATAAGATTGAGAAAAGATCAGGATGCCTGGGTGGCTCAGTGGTTGAGCACCTGCCCTGGGCTCAGGGTGTGATCTGTGGTCTCAGGATTGAGTTCCACATCAGGCTCCCTGCCTGGAGCCTGCTTCTCCCTCTGCCTATGTCTGTGTCTTTCTCTCTGTGTGTCTTTAATGAATAAATAAAATCTAAAAAAAAAATTGAGAAAAGGTCTGGCACATAGTAAATGCTCAGTAAACATTACCCATTAAACTCTCTGGAGGACAGATGAATGAGAGCTGATGAGCGTAGTGGAGTGCAAGGTGCTATGATGTGGGTGAGTTCGGCCTATGTCAGGAATATAGAAAACAGGAATCTAAGTCAGAGGAGTGGGGGGTCAGAAAGGAGGCAACACAAACTAAGTGCAGAAGTACAAGTCAGAGTGGGTTTCACAGAAAAAGGATGGGAAGGGGCGCCTGGGGGCTCAGTTAGTTAAGTGTCCAACTCTTTTTTTTTTTTTTATAGACAATGCTCATCACAGTTTTCTTTTTATTTTGGCTGGTATACCTCCTGGAAAAATGGTTATGCAAGTTTTTTTTTTAAAGATTCCATTTATTTATTCATGAGAGACACACAGAGAGAGGCAGAGACACAAGCAGAGGGAGAAACAGGCTCCATGCAGGGAGCCTGACGTGGGACTTGATCCAGTTGATCCAGCGTCTCCAGGATCATGCCCTGGGCCAAAGGCAGGCACTAAACCACTGAGCCACCTAAGGATCCCCAATGTCCGACTCTTGATTTCAGCTCAGGTTGTAGTCTCAGGGTTGTGGGCTTGAGCATCGCGTGGGGCTCCATGCTGGGTGGGAAGTCTGCTTAAGATTCTCTCTCTCAAAAAAATTTTCTATTTATCCAAGTTCAGATTTATTAAAAAAAAAAAAGATGGGAAGGGTATTCCAGGCAAGGGGAACAACATAATGGGGTGTGGTTAGAACCATTACAGCTTCTATTAGAGCATCATGGAATTGTTAATTTATGTCAGTTTTCCCTAATTTTGGGGTGAAACTTCACATGCTCCATTTTTAAGCTCCTTTATAATCCTGTCTCTCAGAATACATGCTTTTTGAGAGCAGGCTCTGGTTTGTTTACTGTTGCATTGCTGGTAGTACTCGGTGTGTTTTAGACCTTTAAATATATGTTGAATGAATGAATGAACTTCATCAGCTCCCTGAGGACTCAGACTCCCTGTCTCTTTCCCTGTTGTACTACTTCTTTACACCTCACTCCATCCTGCACCTCATCTGCCAGGCTCCATGGCCTGCAAAGCAATAGTCATCAAGCACAGAAGCACTGATTCACAAGCCCTTGGGTCAGCTGGACAGTGGCCATGAGAAGAGAAGCTGGAACAGAGCAAGGAGCTGAAGTAAGGGTAACTGGCGGTGTCACTGAGCCAGGATGGCATCTGGTTCAGGTATCTATGGGTCAGGCTTGCCTGGGAGGGGCAGACCTTGGTATCTCTGCTCAGGGCTCCCTCTGCCTAAGCAGGGCTGGAGCGGCACTGACAAGGCCCACCTCCTCCCTCTTCTAGGCTTTGCAGGGCTGTGTGGCTTGGTCCTCTGCAGGCTCAAACTGTCTCAGAGTATGAGGAGTCCCTGCGAGGGAAGCATGGCTCTGGGGAGTATGTAAGCAAGTGGCCTTGGAGAGCAGGTCGAATGGCTTCAGGTGACAACAAGGTTCAGGTATCCCCATAGGAGCTGGTGTCTGTGGAGGAGGATGAAAAACCCTTTGGCCGTCTGAGACCAAAGGATGGAGCAATCACCATGAGGTCAATGAGGCCACTGAGAGTGGACATGAGCCAGTGGCTAAGCTGTGGTGCATGAAAATGAGCCTTGGGATTGCTACCTGTAAGCACTGAAAAGGGGAAAGGCCACCCAGCCAGGTGGTGAGGATCCTTGCAGGAGCCAGGGATTTCCAGGGGGAGGAATGGAAGGAGGGAGGCCACAGACACAAGGTGTGTGCTAAGGTGTGAGGGCTGGTGTCCCTCCATGTGAGGGGGCCGTAGGGGACAGTGGGATTCAGCTAAGGCAGGGAGCAGGAGGATATCTCTGATCATCAGTTGGGAATTCCAGGAGGTCAAGTGAAGGGGCGGGGTGGGGGTCCTTTCTAGTGACAGGAGGGGGGATCTGAGCTCTCCTTGGGAGTCCAAGGAAACGGTTACTGCAGCTGTGCTGAATTTCAAACCACAGTGTGCTCAGAATAGACGACTGCACGTTTGGACGATGCTGGAGGATTCACAGTGTTCCCACCGTACACCGTACACCTTGTACTTCCCTTACTCTCTTCTCCCCGCAGCCCTGTGACCCGGTTGTTGTCAGCGATGCACCCGGAGGGGCGCGCTGAAGGTCCCCTGAAGGAAGCATTCGAGCGGGTTCAAGCCCCGCTGCGCACAGGTGACAGACTGTAGGGGCCTTCCGGAGCAGGTTCATTCCGCACCCGGGCCGTGCCGTGCCCTGCCCGAGCTCCCCAGGCCTCCGACGCTTGGGAGTTGCACTCCTCCGCAGCAGGTGCCCTTCCCTTGCACGCGGCCCGCAGAAACAGCTAACAAGCTCCTCACAGGTAAGCTCAGACATGCAGGCCAGCGAGTCCCCGCCGAGGACAACGTACTCCTCGCCCTGGGCCGGCCTGTCCCAGCTGCGGGCTGGCGGGGAGCGAACAGGCCACGCACCTGCGGTAAACACCCAGCAATCTGGGGCGTCGGCTCCCAAGCCCCGCCAGCGCCCTCCGAAGGCGCCAGCGCGACGGCCCCTCCCGCGTGACGTCATAGACACGCCCCCTCCGGGAGGACCCACGTTCACAGCGGGGCGCCGCCGGACGGCGTCGCTTGAGCACGTGCGCTTCAGTGCGCACACGGCGGCGCAGGCTTGAAGACCTATTCAGCGTGGTCCCCCTAATGTTTGCAGGGTTGGGTGGCACGCAGCGTGAGGCTCACCTCGGGGCATTTCAAGACGTCACCCCCCCCAGAAGGAGAATGGTTCTGTCCTGGTGACGTCAGGCTCTGGGCGGGGCCGGGCCGTTCCTGCCGGCTGCCTTGGGCAGCGCGACCCACGGGCGGAGCCACGTCCCCCGTCGGCGTGCGGAGGCGGCGGGCGTGACCGCGGAGGGCCCTTCTGCGGCTGCGCGGGTGTGGTCGCGGTGCCAACGCGGGCGGGAGTGGGGTCTGCAGCTGGGTGGCTGACGCATGGCCCCGCGGGGAGGCGCCCCGTGCCTGGTGCTGCTGGTCAGCGGGAAGAGGAAGTCCGGGAAGGACTTCGTGGCCGAGGCGCTGCGGAGCAGGTGTCCGCGGGGCGGGGCGCGCGCGGCTCGGGGTGGGGTCCGCGGGCGTCCGGAGCGCGGACTGCTGCGGGGCGGCCGACTTCGGGGGAGGAGGCGGGGAGGGACGTGCCGGCCGGGAGCCCACCGGGTCCCAGAGCTCCCTCGCCAGGCGCCGGGTAGGGGGGCTGGGCAGGAGCGCCTTTTCAGTTGAGGAAACCAGATTCCGCTTTTGTCTGGCTCCCCGAAGTGAGTGCGCTGCGCCCTACTCCGCCCTGTCCCTGGCCCCAGCGAGGTGCTGTGGGGGGAGTAGCTCTGCCGGGCCGGGGCGAGGGGCTAGACGAGCTGGGCGGCCCAGGCTGAGGTCTCCCCGAACTCACCCCAGGGACCCGCCACCTTGTGCCCCCAAACACGGGGAGCCAGATAGTGGCCAGAGGCACGGCCCGTGCAGTTGCACCTGGGGTCACAGCCTGACTCCCCCACCTACTCGTTTTTGATCTTGCGCAAGATTCTTACCCGAGGGCATCTCAGTTTTGTCATCTGTGAAATTAGGGGAATGATAGGCTGCTTGTAGGGATTGCAGGAGTCATGCACCTTAAGAGCTTAGAACAGTTCTTGTCTAGTAAAGATACAGGAGCTAAACGGTGGCTGTTATTTGTATTTTACCCGAATTGGCGTCAATACCTGCAGTGTTGTTTTGTGAGCGTCAGTTCTCAACCTCCGGTTCTTGTCTGAATGGTGGAGTGCCTGTCTCATGCGTCAGGATTGAGGAGCATCTGGGAGCATCTCAAAGGCAGGGCAGGAGCCCTGTGTCTTAGGACTGTGTTACCCACATTTACATGCAGCACCCCACCTGTGGCTGGGCTACACTGAACAGGGGAACAGAAGGATGATTTATGTGTGATGATCATGTCCATTGAGACCCAGATGCTCTGGCTGTGAGAGGTTTAGTCCAGGGGCCCAGCAGTAACTACTCCGTCCAGAACATGGTCTGGGACGGACGTGCACTACTGTAATCATAATTTTATTGGTTTTACTTGTTGATTTCAGGAGTCTTTCACATTCCAGTTTTGTAATAATCTTGTAGGAGAGAGGACAGAAAGTACTCTCCCCACTTTCTAGGTGAGGAATTAGAATCAGGAAGGATGAGTGTGATGAAGTTCCATGGATACCCCTAGCAGAGGCAGGACTTCATTGGGGTGCCTGGCTGGTTCAGTCATTAGCGCCTGGGATTCTGACTTCATCTCAGGATCATGAGTTCAAGGCTTATGGGAGGCATGGAACCTAGGAAAGGAAAAAAAAAAAGGGGGGGGGGGACTTCAGTTCCCTGTATGTCAACCAGGGGCGTGAAAACTGGGCTAAGTGGGTTTGGCTCTCCCTGTCGTGTAGACTTGGCGCCGATGTCTGTGCTGTCCTCCGGCTCTCTGGTCCACTCAAGGAACAGTATGCTAAGGTAGGTGGTGCTCTGGTGCATCTGGTGGGTGAGGAGCCAGCTTATAGGCTGCAGGGTCTTTACGACCACTGTTGGCAGGGGGTGGACAGCTCTCCATATTCTGTGGCTCCACCTTTGGGGGGCATTTTCACCCTAAGCTGGTTTCCCATTGTCATCACTCACTTCAGGCCACTCCCCTAGAGTGTGTACAAGAAATCATGTCCAGGAAAGGGTGTAGATGTGAGTTGTCAGCTCTGAGGCCCAAGTTATTAGTAACAATCTGGAATTCTTCCTTTAGAAATGTAATCACTTGGGTTGTCAGTGTACATTGTTAAGTGGAAAAAGCAAGATTTGTAGAAAGGTGCACACGGAATGCTACATTTGTATAAAAATGGAGAAAAACTGTAAATATATTTGCTTATCTACTCAGCCATATAGTAAGAATTTGTGGGGGTACTGGCATGGTGTTCACTATTCCTGGTGCTCGGGATGTGTGAAGCCAGGGCAGGATAGCAGGACTGTGTCCTTGGATGCCTCCAGGGAGCAGTGGTGGGAGAGAGCTTTTTCACTGTCAACAATATGTATCTTTTGAATTTTGAACTATGCAGATTTAAAAAAAGGATTGTAGAAAAATAAACGGGACCTCTTAAAGCCCTGGGTTTCAGATAGAGAGCCTGGAGGGTGAGACCAGCTTCCCATACTGTGTGAAGCATTCATTGCTTACATTTCTGTCCTTGCTTCTGGGTGCATCGGTTCGGGTACCTGTGCTCATGGCCCCTTGGTCAGTTGGCCTGGGTCTGGCCTTCTGGGGCCACACAGAATGAATTTGTCTTCCCCCTTCCACGCATCAGTCCCATATCCATGGGCAGTATGCCGCTATACCATTCAGTCTTCTCCCACCAGCTAAACAGACCCATTTGTAGCATGGCAGCCGGGGCGGGTCCTGGGGATAACAGGTGCAGTCATTTAAAAAATTTTTTAGTAGGAACGTTTCCCCGGTGAAGTTGGATGGAGAAGTTCCTTGTATCCAGTAGACAGATTGGGAGGGACTCTGATGGAAGGAGGGGTGGAGGGGGAGGTGCTCAGCCTACCCATGGGGGCCTGGGTCCTTCCAAGAACCCCAGGGCTCCATGGAGCAGTTAGAAAATCTCTGATCTACCTGCAGAATTCCTAGATCAGCCCCCACTCCAAACTGATGAGCCAGGCTGGTGTGGGAGTTGGGTAGGAGTTTGCATTTTTTGTTTCAAAGATTTTTTAAATTTATTTGAGATAGAATAAGAGGGAGAGAATGCACACAAGTGGATGGTGGGGGGCAGAGGGAGAGGGAGAAGCGGACTTCTCACTGAGTAGGGAGCCCAAAATGGGGCTCCATCCCTGGATCCCAGGATCATGACCTGAGCCACCCAGACGCCCCAGGAGTTTGCATTTTTAAAACCTCAATAGGTAACTCTGATAGGCCAGCCTACCACTACATCTCCCACTCCCATTTCAAAAACAAATCCTGGATGCCTGGCTGGCTTAGTGGATAGAGCCTGCAACTCTTGATGTCAGGGTTGTGAGTTCAAGCCCCACGTTGGGTGTGGAGCCTATTTAAAAAAAAAAAAAAAAAAAAAAAAAAAAAAAAAAAACATCGGGCAGCCTGGGTGGCTCAGTGGTTTAGTGCCACCTTCAGTCCAAGGCCTGATTCTGGAGACCTGGGATCAAGTCCTGCGTCAGGCTCCCTGCATGGAGCCTGCTTCTCCCTCTGCCTGTGTCTCTGCCATTCTCTCTCTCTCTCTCTCTCTGTCTCTCATTAATAAATAAATAAATAAATAAAATATTAAAAAAAAAACCCCACCAAAAACAAAAAATCATGATGGGAAATATAATTGAAAAGCAGAACGTAATGCTCCTGGTGGCTGCTTTTCACCTGTGTTAAGAGTAGGTGGAAACTAGTTTACAAACGAAGTGGCTGCTGGCCTTATCCTAGGAGCAGGGCACAGGAAGGTGACTTGACCTGTGTGGTCTGGCCCTTCAGTTTGCAGATGAAGAAACAGTCCAAGAAGGTCTACCTGCAGTGAATTAGTAGAGGAGCTGGAACCTGCCCCCTTCTTGCCCTGGGGTCCCCGTCGAGGGCCTGTCTTGCAGTCAGTGTCCCTGGTGGAGGGAAGGCCAGCCAGGGTGGTCTGAGCAGTCCCTTGTGTCCAGATGGATGGAGTGATTCTGTTTCCAGAGGTGCCAGGGACTTAGGGGTGGGGGGTGGGGGGAGCCTGGGACAGATGATGCCCGGGGGGTTGGGGAGGACACAGCCTGCCCTGCTTTTAGGTTTCCCACTTTGGTTAAAGGCTAAGCCTGTGCCCAGGGGATGCAAACTAATTTCAGGATTAGTTTAAGCCAGAAATAATTTGGAAGGTAAGGCTGTTGCAAAGGAGAAAAACCACATCACACATTTTCAAGACAAACCGAAGCAATTTCTGGATTACCCCAGTCTTTTCTTCCATCTCCTGCCTTTTGGGGTTTTTTTAGTTTCTAGCCCCGTTTCCCTACAGACATGGTCCTGGTGGCAGCCTCTTGGTCCTTGCATTGGGACCCCCTGCCCTGGGGGTGGGCTGGGTGGCGGCGGAGAAAGCCTTCTGTTTCAGGAGAGACCCGAGGTTGGCTGCTGGCGGTGCAGACTCTGTGTGCTTTGGGCAGGAGCACGACTTGGATTTCCAGAGACTCCTGGATGCCAGCGCCTACAAGGAGGCCTTTCGGAGGGACATGATCCGCTGGGGGGAGGAGAAGCGCCAGGCCGACCCCGGCTTCTTCTGCAGGAAGGTTGTAGAGGGCGTCTTCCACCCTGTCTGGGTGAGTGGGCTCTATGGCAGCTCTCTCCATCCACATCTCCACTGCCTTCCTGTCCTGCTGAATCTCACCAACGTCTCCTGCTCTGGCCGGGGTGTCGGCTCTCCGCCCCTGTGGTCCCTTCACTACAGGTAGCCAGAACGACCTTTGAAGAACAAGACGAGTTACTCCTCCATGGAGCACCTTTGTCCCTTGTTCTGTTGGACCACATTGAAATGCTTAGCGCAAACCTCTAGGCCTGAATAATCTGGTCCTGCTGCTCCGTTGGCCTCCCTAGTCCTCAGGCTGTAGCGACATCAGCCTCCTCTCTGTGCCCCAAGTTACACTCCTTCTGGAGTCAGGGCCGGCCTGCGTGTTCCGCCTGCCGGAGATGTCCCTTCTCTCCCTCTACTGGGTGCACTCCAGCCTGCCTGGCTTACTTATGTGGTGCCTCCACAAGGAAGCCTTCCCTGATACCCGAGCTCTAAGTGATGGTTGCTGTCTGTTGCTCCCATGGCACCTACTCCTCTCCTACCTCCTTGAGGCAGCTGGTGTTCTCTCCTTGCACCTGGCCCGGCTCCCAGTGATTTGGGCGCACCCCAGTGCAAACATTGTAATCAGGGTGATTACATTATAACTGGCTGGAGGGAATTAGGCCCTAAACAAATAGCTTGTGGGTGGGGATCACTACCAAGTTGCAAAACAGACAAGGGCTCTGGGGAGGACGGGGGTGCTGTCTGATGTGGGTATCAGGACCAACTGTGTCTGGGCAAGAGGAGAGGCTGTTGCTAGCAGGCCAGCTCATTGGAGGGGACAGACATGGCTGGGGGGGGGGGGTGCACAGGAGAGAAAGCAGAGGCCAGGGCGCAGGTCTTCCCGGAGGCGAAGGGGATGCGGGGACATGGTGGGATCTGCACAGGCTGCAGGGGATGCACAGAGACAGGAAGGGGTTGGGGTGGGAGGGAAGGCCTCCCTTAGGAGGAACACCAGAGGAGATGGCACCCAATCAGAGAGCCTGGCCTGTGTATGTCCCTGAGAAGGCCAGCTGGCTGAGGGGGAGTGAACGTGGGAATCTGGTGGGAAGTAGGTGCTAGATCATGCAGGACCTTGTAAACGGGGTGGGCTTTGGGTTGTCTTAGAATGATGGGAGGCCTTTGAGAAGTTTAGGGCAGTGACCTGACAAAATCAGACTTAAATTTTAAAAAGTGCTGGGGAGGGCAGTCCCGGTGGCGCAGTGGTTTGGCGCCGCCTGCAGCCCAGGGTGTGATCCTGGAGGCCCCGGGATCGAGTCCCATATCTGGCTTCCTGCATGGAGCCAGCTTCTCCCTCTGCCTGTGTCTCTGCCTCTCTCTCTCGGCTCTCTCTGAATGAATAAATAAATAAATTAAAAAAAATTCTAAAAAAAAAAAAGTGCTGGGGAGCAGGGACCAGTTAGAGCATCTTTGTTTCGGGCCTCGGTTTGTTCATCTGTAAAGTAATTATGTTGGACCTGCTGATCTGACCCCAGATCCTGCGACCTCTTCAGCTCAGCAGTGACTCCAGAACATGGCATGTCTATGGCGGAGAATGTGTGGGCCGAGTGGCCTCCTGCAAGGGGCAGGGACAGTGGGTGAAAGTGGGGAAGGGGCGACACCTGTCTGGGTTCTGTAGCCCCTCCCAACCCTGTGTCCCTGCTTATTTGGAGTGGGGCCGGGTCTCCTGCCACCCCCATGACCCTGTCCCCCAGCACTGTGTCCTATTGGTCACCTGCCTGTGTCTCTCCCCTGCAGCTGGTGAGTGACACACGGAGGGTGTCGGACATCCAGTGGTTCCGGGAGGCCTTTGGGGCTCTGACACAGACCGTCCGTGTGGTAGCCTCGGAGCAGAGCCGACAGCAGCGGGGCTGGGTGTTCACCACAGGTGAGCTGGGCGTGGCCATTGTCCTTGAGGCTTGGCACTCGGGCCGGCCACCCGATGGTAGACCAAGGCCACCCACTCCCACGCTTCAAGTCTTCTATTCTATTCCTAGCTGGCTCTGGGGCAGTGAGTGAGGGGTTATAGAAGGGATGCGGCCGGGGGCTCCGGACTGCCCCCACGTCAGAGACGAGTGGGATGGGGGTGGGTGTCCTTGGGGCTCACAGCTCCATGACTTTAGCCTGGGGCCCTTCCCTGGGCTATCCTCTCTAGGCCAATGGGACCTACCCCTTGGTCCTTCACCTCTGCTTGCCAGCCTGGTGGGTCAGAGGGCAGGCCTGTTTGATGAACAGAATGACTGTGTGCAGCATCCGTGGTGCAAGCCTGGGACCTGCCCCATGGCTTCTTTCATGCCTGAGGTCCTGGGACCTGGGGAAGTGCAGGTCCAGCAGGCACCCCTCTGTCCAGCTGCTGTCCCCTGGGGATTTGCTGCAGGGCGAATGATCTCACCCTACGGTCAGTGAACCTGCTCTGCAGACAGGCGGGTGGAATAGCTCATGCTGTATCCCCAGAGGACTGAGTCAGAGATGTGGGCATGGAGTCCACACCCCAGCTTCACATAAAATGGAGATAGGTGGCCCTGCTGGGTTCTCTGTGGTTTCCAAAGAGCCAACCACTCTCTGTAGCCAGTGGCCAAGGAAGAGCAAAGTTGGTAGACACTCTAGGGGGTCTCAGGTGGCTCTCTGGGGGCAAAGGGGGCAAGCTCATGTGGGGCCAGCAGGCCTCCATGCCCAGTGTCTGCCCAGATGGACGGGCCCTGACCTTCCCATGCTTCCTGTACAGGGGTGGACGATGCTGAGTCCGAGTGTGGTCTGGACAACTTTGGGGCCTTTGACTGGGTCATTGAGAACCATGGGGATGAGCAGCGCCTGGAAGAGCAGTTGGAGAAGCTGGTAGTGTTTGTCCGCTCCAGACTGTAGCTCCAGGTCCTGTGAGCACTGGGGCCTCCCTGCCTCTGCTGACTTTGGTCTCTAAGGCGGGGGAAAGACAGAGGGCCTGGGTCTAGGTTTCTGGGGGCCTGGCAGACATCAGACAAGTCAAGACACCCCCAGGGACCTCATTTCTTTGTACAGAGGACAGTCCTGCATCTTTAGGAGGAGACTAGAGGGCAAAAGGGGGGTGAACTGGCTGTGCTTGACCTTTGTCCATGGTGCCAGGCCTGTGAGCCTGTGCAGCCTGGCTTCCCTGTCTGGATGCGCTCAGCCCAGGGCTCCTTTGTGTACTAATAAACCACCTTGGAGCACACGCTCAGAGCTGGTCTCTCATTTCCCGGATGCCAGCATAGCCAGCATGCGTTCAGAAGGGCCGGGGCTGTCTCCACCTGGGCTTGGGCCATGCAGGCAAAGGGTCTGTGTGGGAGGCAGAATGGGGGTCTGAGAGTCTCGTCTTCTTGGAGGGCTCCACCAGAGGCTCTGTGTTCCATAGAGAGTGCCACCAGCAAGCACCCAGAGGGACCAAGTTATCATAGATGCCAGGCACCTAGAGATCAATGGACTCCTCATAGCCATTGTGTGGCCCTGGGCAGGTCATATTAGTGCATCCAGCCTCAGCGTTCCCATAGGGGGCTTTGGATTTGATCCCTTTTATTTATTTTATTTTATTGTTTTAAAAAAATTTTTTTATTTTAAGAGCGAATGTGGGGAGGGGCAGAGGGAGAGAGAGAGAATCTCAAGCAGACTCCGTGCTGGATGCCGAGTCCAACACAGGGCTCAATGTCATGACCCTGAGATCATGACCTGAGTGGAAACCAAGAAGTGGAAACCCAAGTGGTCGCTTGACTAGCTGCATCACCCTGGCTTCCTGAGGAGAGTCCTTTCATCTGCACTTAGCAGGTGCCAAGAGCTCAGAAAGGGAAGGCCACCTGCTCAGGATTAGAGGGTGTGTTGGTGCCACCTGACTCCTGACCATCCCAGACCTCGCTGAGCACCCAGCTCTCTGCCCTCTTCCTCCTCACTCCTATGTCCCTGCTAACTGACCTGTGATGTTCCCGCCCAGACCTCCTCCCTGGCTCTTGTGGGTGCCTGGCACCATGGGCTCCTCCTTGTCCCCTTCTATTTCTCCTTGGAAGGTGAACTCCCTGATGGCTGGCTGTGTCTCTCTGGCAGTTGTGACCGTGGCTCCCAGAGGTGTGCTGGCTCAGTGGGTGCTGGGAGAGGGCATGCTCCCACGCAAGTTGATGTGTGCATAATCATGGTCTGCAGGATGCGATTCTCATGCCCCAGGAGGCTCTGTTGCCCATCTGGTGCTGAGCTGGCACCAGCTTGGATGCTCCTGGGGCTTGTTCCACATGGAGACTCAGCTCTTAGGGGCTCCTCTCAGTGGTGCTGGCAGAGGTCACGAGCCACCCCTGCCCTGACCCCGACTGCTTTCCACTCGATCCAGGTTGTGACCTAAAGAGTTTACCGCTGTGATCACCAGACGTGGCCCCAGTGATTTTGGTCATTTCTGTGATGGCACTGTTCAGAGGCAGGTGCAGCGGGTCCAGCTCCAGGGGTGTGGTTTCCATGCAGCAGTGGCTGTGCCTGGGGGGTGCGTGGGCGGTACTCACCTGTATATGCCAGCCCTGGGGTGTTATGAAGTCCCAGCCTTCTCTCTCTCTCTCTCTCTCTCTTTTTTTTTTAAGATTTTATTTATTTATTCATGAGAGACACAGAGAGAGAGAGAGAGGCAGAGACACAGGCAGAGGGAGAAGCAGGCTCCATCCAGGGAGCCCGATGTGGGACTCGATCCCGGGTCGCCAGGATCAGGCCCCGGGCCGAAGGCGGCGCCAAACTGCTGAGCCACCGGGCTGCCCCCAGCCTTCTCTTGAAGGTCCAAGGTGTCCCTTGACATGGCCTTCAGGTTCCTGGCACCTTGCGGTACATGTCTGTCTGTCCCATAGAGTAACGGCTCCTGAGGATTGAGCCCCACTGCCTGGCCTGGTGACAGCAGGAATGAGTGACCATTACTAAGTGCCTGTCAGGACCCGGATACCATGTGATATGCTTTAAATATATATTCTATTTAAAAATTAAAGCAAGCTATCTATCTATCTATCTATCTATCTATCTATCTATCTATCTATCTATTTATTTATTTACTTATTTATGGGTTTTATTTGTTAGAGAGAAGGAGCTCCTAGGGAAGGAAAGGGAAAAGCAGACTCCCTGCTGAGCAGGGACTGCCTCCACCCCCAACCTCAGACCTGGGGCTGGATCCCAGGACCCCAGGATCGCAACCTGAGCTGAAGGCAGTGCTTCACCCACTGAGCCACCCAGGCACTTTAAGAATTTTAAGAATTAATAAAACAAAGAATGGGTCAGAAAGTATTGACTGGACTTGGAGCCCTCACGTGCTGGCCCAGCAACCACAGTCCCGGTGGTAGTTCAAGCCCCATGTTTTCAGGGTTGCTGTTTGCCACAAGGCAGTGGGTGTTCTCATTTGCACTGACCCGGGGACAACCTGAGGGCCTATGGGTTCTCCAGAGGTGGCAGAGCCAGCATGGGGCCCGTAGGTGTGCCCGGGAGCCCTGTGTCTTGGCACTTTCCCCAGCAGGTGTCTCCTTGGACCAGAGAGTGGCCATCCCTGACCACGCCTGAGCTCAGAGCTCAGGACGAGTGAGCCTGTTGAGGGATCGCTCATGTTCTTCCTTCTTCCCAGCTTGATAAGATGGGATCCACACATAACACTGTGAAAGTGTACAGTGATTTGAGGCACATATGTCCTGTGAAATCAGCACAAAATAAGGTTGGTTATCCCTGTTACCACACATAGTTGTCATGTGTGCATGCCAGGCTGTGATGGGGGTATGTGTGTGAATGAACCACATTTTATTTATCTGTCTGTGTGTGGATGTTTTGCTGTTTCCATGTCTTGGCTGCAGTGAGTGTGGGGATGCGACTGTGTCCTTGTCGTCTTGCTTTCCTCTCCTAAAGATGCGTGCCTAGTGGTGGGATTGCTGGGTGACCACCAGTGCACAGTGAAGGAGGCAGGGATGGAGCAGAGAAGAGGAGGAGGGGCTGCTGTGCCTGACACATCCCTCTTCCCCGTCCCCAGGAGCCCTGCTCACCTGGCTCCTGGCTCCCGGATTTGGAAAGCCTCTGACAGGTTGGCAGTGATGCCTCCAAAAATGGGGGGTCCCAGTGGCTAACCAGAGTCACTTCTGCTGTAGTTGAAGTTCTTCTGTACTTAAAAAATCTGCTCTTTGTCTAGGTATCAAAATCAAGAATAACTCCAACTTTTGATTCTGTGATGATGAGGGCTTTAGCTGCTTTTTAGAAATTTTGTTAATTTTTTAATTTTTAAAATTTAAATTCAATTTGCCAACATAGCATAATACCCAGTGGCTTTTGCTGCTTTTATTTTGAGGCATTCTCCACACCCTGCTAGACTTTGCTGATTGTGTGTTTATGGTATAACAGCATTGCTGTGAAGTTGTTTCTTCTATCATGTGTGTATTATTTTAACAATGTTTTGTGGCATTAACATTCTCCTAAAATTTTTATGCCATTTCTAAACAGCTTTATTGAGATATAGTTGATATGTAGTAACTGCATATTTAAAACGTACAGGTTGATAAGTTTTGACATTTGCCTACACTGACAAAACGATGCCCATGGTCATGGTGGATACCCACCCGTCACCTTCATCCCCAGGCCACCACTGATCTGCTTTCTGCCTCCATAGATCACTTTGCATTTTCAGTAATTTTACATAAATGCATTATCCAGTATATATCTTTTTTTGTCTCATTTCTTTCACTCAGCATAATTATTTTGAGGTCCATCCTCATTATTGCAGGTTTCAGTAGTTCATTCTGGTTTGTTACTGGTATTGGGATGAATATCCTGCAATAGATCCATTCACCTGTTGATGAACATCTGGGTTGTGGGTTGTTTCCAGTGTTCGGAGGTAACAAATAAAGCAACTATGAATAGTCATGTACAGACTTTTGTGTGGATCTGTGCTTTCATTTCTCTGGGGTACATGCCTCCTTACCTGTGCATGGAGCAAGGGTGCGCCCCCCCCTCCATGGAGGAGGAGGAGGGGTGCAATGTCCCCATGCAGGTTCCAGTCTGTATGGTACCGGACGAAGAGGGAATAAGAGGCATTTGGGTTCGGAGGGAAGCAGCAAAACTGCCTGTTCTTAGGTGACCTGTCATCTATGTGGCAGGTCGGGTGGAATCTCCAGGAAAGCTGCTAGAGCTGGTAGGTAAATTCAACAAGATAGGGTACAAGGTCACTTTATACGAGTCCGTGGTATTACTATTCTTTTGTAATGAACAATCAGAAATTGGAATAATGCAATTACAAAAGAATAAAATGTGAAATCGGAGTGAGTCTGATAAAAGACATGCTTATTGGAAACTAAAGTGCTGCTGGAAGACAAGACCTTCATGGACAGATGACACCAAGTCCATAGGATTCAATGTGAAGATACTCCTTTCCCCTCCCCCCTCCCCCTCCTCTCTTCCCCCCACATCCCCCCTCCTACCAGGTCCCCCCTACCCCTGGTTCCCCCATCCCCCTCTTCCCCCCCAAGGTGTCCCCTCCTGCCAGGTGCCCCCTCCCCCCAGGTCTCCCCCAGATGCTCCCTCCCCTCCCCTCCCCCACCCTGCAACCACCAGCTTGTTCCCTGCATTTCTGGGTCTGTTTCTGCCTTTTTTTTTTAATACTCTTTTTTTTTTTTTTTAAAGATTTTTATTTATTCATGAGAGACAGAGAGAGGCAGGCTTCATGCAGGGAGGCCAACACGGGACTCGATCCTGGGACTCCAGGATCACATCCTGAGCCAAAGGCAGACACTCAACCACTGAGCCACCCAGGCATCCCTTTTTAAAAATATTCTACCAGGTGAAACCACCTGATACCTGTCTGAAATGTGCTGACCTCAGGTGTACATTTCCACCACTTCCTAGTCAGTCCCCACCCTCTTGGAAGCACAGATTAGTTTTGCCTGTTCTAGAATTTTGCATAAATGGTTAACATCTAATTTTAAAACATGTTTATTTTTTTAATTTTAATTTTTAAAGTTTTCTCATTTTAGAGAGAGAGCACATGTGCATGAGTGGCGGGAGGAACGGTGGGGGGAGGGGCAGAGGGAGAGGCAGGCTCCATCCTGGGACCCCGAGATCATGACCTGAGTCTAAGGCAGAGGCTTAACCAACTGAGCTACCTAGGCGCTCCTTGAAACATGTTTATAATAATAATTTATTTAAAAGATTTAACTGGTTTACTGCACTTTGGTCCTTTCATGGAAGTTGAGA